CTGTCTCAAAAAAAAACACATTCAATGAAAGCGTATATGTGCGTGCATGCTTGTGGTGGAGGGGAACTAATAAAAAGTTGGTGTTTGTGAAAATAAGGGAACTGAAATATTTTGGTCTTTGGCTAATGTGGGAAAAACTCCTCAGCTATCAAAATTCTGTAGATAAGCTTTCAAAAAATGCCAAAGGCAGTTTCACTTCAAACAATAGACACTCTGTTGAAACAGGTTCAGGTGGTGGCCAACCTCCACCCATAGGCTGTGGGGTTTTTGTGCTTTGTTGTAGAACTAACTAACCCTGACATGACAGCTTGTACTGTGTTTTTAAAATCTGAATTGATCCACTCAGTTCTAAACAAAATTTGAATGAGAAACCTCTTCCATGGAAGGAGGATGGCCAATTTGGTGAAATCATGATTAGAAAATTTAGTTTTGCCAGAGATATGTTAAGAATTTTAAACAGTTTCACTGAGGTATAACAGGCAACAAAAAATCACACACAAAATTTTGTATGTGTACAGCTGTCACCACAAGCAAGATAATGAACATATCCATCATCTCTAAAAATCTCCTCCTGCCCTTTTGTAATCCTGCCTTCCTGCCCCTTGGGGCCTCCTTCCCTCCTTAGGCAATCACTGATTTGCTTCTGTCACTATAGAATATTTTGCATTTTCTAGAATTTTCTATAAATGGAATCATACACTATGTACTCTTTTTTGTCTGCTTTCACTCAGCATTATTTTGAGATTCATCTGTGTTGTGTATACCAAGAGTTTTTTTTTTCTTATTAAAATTTTTGTTGAGGCTGGGCAAGGTGGCTCACCAGACACCTGGCTAATTTTTTCTATTTTTAGCAGAGATGGGGTCTCACTCTTGCTCAGGCTGGTCTGGAACTCCTGAGCTCCAGTGCTCCATCCGTCTCAGCCTCCCAGAGTGCTAGGATTACAGGAGTGAGCCACCTAGCCCGGCCGATCATAAAGTTTACATTCTAGTTAGTAGAGGGAGCTAGACAATAATAATAAGCATAATAAATACTTAGTATCTAATAGAAAAAAATAATAAAGATTAAAGAGAATTAGGATTTTTGGCAGGATCAGGTTGCAATTTTTTTTTCAGAGACAGGATCTCACTATGTTGCTGCAGCTGGGCTTGACCTCCTGGCCTCAAACAATCCTCCACTCTCAGCCCTCCTGGGTGCTGGGATTACCGGCATGAGCCACCATGCCTGACTAAGGCTGCAATTTAAAATAGGATGAGGGAGTGAGCTATGCAGATAAGAGTATTCCAGGGGACAATTAGCACAAAGGTCCTAAGATAGAACCATTCCTGGTGTGTGCTACAAAGAGCAAGGAGCCAGTGTACCTGGAGAAGACTGAGCAAGGGGAAGTAGAAGGTTAGAGATGCGAACAGACAGGGTAGAGGGGGCGGTGGGAGAGGGGTACTTTGAGACAGGAACACCTCAGTGGAACTTTAGTTCACCACATAGCTAAAAACAATTAAGAAATACCATTAAGATAATTGACAAAGTCCACATTAAAAAAATGTGCAGTAGTGATTTAATTTTAGTCCCAAACTTTTGTAGCTGACTTATCTTCATAAATTGCATCTAATACTTAAAAAGAGAAATCTCTAGCCCCAATGTCTTACTCATTATTTTGAATGGAAACAAAGGAGGCTTTCTTTTGTTTACTGATAACACTTGAGAGCTTTTTATATTATGACCACACAATAAATAGTACATCGCGTATATAGTACCATTTAGTCACAATGCAGTATTTGTGAAGGAATCCACAATGTTAACATTTGACGTTTTGGTAAAAAGAAATTTATCAAATTGGTTTCCAGAACACAGAACAGCTAGTTACTAGATTAGGAACTTACCGAACGTCATAGTCTGGTGCACAAAAGGTCAGGTTGCTTCAATTAGGTTCTATAATGTCCTTGAGAAGTCTTGCCCCAGTATAGTAACAATGATGATTTTAAATGGGATGATCCATATTTCAGCTCTAAGAAACCAAAACTCTTTGTTCTTCGAGGAGGTGGGTGTTGTCATACTTCCTAATTTCACACGTACTTTATTTTTTTTATTTTTTTAAGACAGAGTCTGGCTCTGTTGCCCAGGCTAGAGTGCCATGGCGTCAACCTAGCTCACAGCAACCTCAAACTCCTGGGCTCAAGCGATCGTCCTGCCTCAGCCTCCCGAGTAGCTGGGACTACAGGCATGAGCCACCATGCCTGGCTAATTTTTTCTATATATTTTTAGTTGTCCGATTAATTTCTTTCTATATTTAGTAGAGACAGGGTCTCGCTCTTGGCTCAGGCTGGTCTCGAACTCCTGACCTTGAGCGATCCTCCCGCCTCGGCCTCCCAGAGTACTAGGATTACAGGCATGCGCCACCGCACCCGGCCTCACATGTACTTTAATATCACGTTTTACACATTTCTAATAAAAACTTTAAAGAATTATCCAGAATTATTCTGCCTTATCAGATAGAATTCACCTCCTTAGGAGAGGTAGTATTGGCAACTCTTTTAAACAACTGAATGAGTGAGCTATGTAGTGGGAGTAGCATCTGGCCTTAAATGCCATTTAGATCCCTGCTTCTTTATAAGGGTGGCATGACCTGCACAATGGCAGGAAAATGACCCTTATGTTCCCTCTCTCCTTTCCCAGCTTCTACACTCTAGATTGGCTACAAAGTGTGGTATCTTTTGACTAGTATCAGTCTCGTTTGCAACAAGATAAGCACAGAAACTAAGAGGATGTGCTTAGAGTTTTTATAAGTATTTGGCATAGTAATTTTGTCTGCTGACTATATTAAGTTTTAAAACTGAGGACATTATTTTTGGTATTCTCTTAAAAATTCATTTTGACTTTTATTGCAGTTTACAAAAGCATCAGTCTGTGACAGATTGAAAATAAAAACTTGTACCTCATACACATCAAACATTTGAGAAACACTCTTCTAGAAGACTGTTAACCCCAAATGCCATCAGAAAAATGCCTAGTGATTTCCTGCATCAACTCAGCCTTGTGTTTTTGAACGCCTGAATGCTTTGGTCTCGGTCTCTGACATCGTCTGGGCTTTTCTTAACCTTGGTCTCCATTCTTTTTCTGCAATCAGGGCAGCCACATATAGGGAAACAATTTGCATTGTACAAAGGTCGATTTTCAAGCCAGGGCTGAAATCCAGTGATGCTCAGTTCAGCTTGCCATTCCTCCAACGGGCTGTGTCTGCCTAGAGGGAACTGTCTTCTGTTTCACAAAATACTATCCCTGCATGGGCTCGGTTATGGTAGGTAGGTGGCTCAAGGGAATGGGTGAGCAACTGCAGGAACACTTTCCTGTTAAGACATTCTTATTTACTACTCAAACGGTTCGTGTACATTGTAGAAATAAACAGATAAGCAAACACACACCCACAATCCTATCACCAAGGTAACACTTTTGAATTTCTTGTATTATTCAAAACAAAAAAGGTGACCACTTACTCTTGTTTTGTAACTTGCTTTCCCTCACTTAACGTGTTATAAAAAAATCATTATGCCAATATAAATCTACATGAAATTTTGATAGTTTCAACTTATTTTAATGTGTGATTATTTAACCAATCCTCTACAGGTGCATGGGTTTATTCTACCTCAATGTGACATTTATTTAAAAGAAGTTACTTGTAGAAAAGGTGAAAGATTCTTTCTGAAAGTGCCCGTAGAGGACAATGGCATTTCAGACAAGTCTCCATCCTCCTCATTTGCAGGCAAAGTAATAAAATGCTTCTTTCCTTCCTCCTCAAACCACTTGTCCTCATTCTTCTTACGGGGCCTTGTGGACAAGTAGCCAGTAACAAAAGGTCTTCTTTAATCTTTAGATGGAGGATCCATAATAAACAACTGAGGAATTACATATGAAGACTGGGATAGATTTAGATCAGGATGGAGTATTATTAAGCCTTAAAAAAGGAAAGAAATTCTGACATATGCTACAACATGGATGCACTTTGAAGACATTATGCTAAGTGCAATAAGCCAGGTACAAAAGGACAAATATTGTATGATTCCATTTATGTGAGGTACCTACAGTAGTCGAACTCATAGACAGCAGGGAGTGTGGCGGCTGATTGACAGAAGCTGGGGCAGGGCAGGGGAGATGAGGAATTATTGTTTAATGTGTACAGTTTCAGTTTGGGATGATTAAGAAGTGCTGTGTAAAAAAAAAGGAAAGAAAGAAAAAGCGCCCATAATCTCACATCCTACCCTAGCAAATCCGGGTTTCCTTCATTTTATTATTTTTAAAAATCTTATTAAATTATTGCTAATCTTCTTTGTACTGTTCCAATTTTAGCATACATGCTGCCAAAGCAAGCATAATCTGGGTTTCTTTATGCACCTTTTGCCTCATTAAACTCAACATATGCAAAAACAAATCTGTTATCTTCTATCCCAGTTCGCCTCCCTGTCCTGAGTTGTCAGTGGAATGAAGCCACAAAACTCTTTAGTTCTACTTTTTAACCTCCTTAGCTTCATATTTATCCTCTTGTGTTCCTGCCACTTCCTTGTTAGCCCTAACATCTACCTCTCTAGTCTAACTCCTGGCCTCCAGCCTGACTTTCTGCAATCTCTTCTGAAACTGCACAGGGATTATCTTTTTTGCCCTTTTAAGTCCCGTCCCCCCACCCCACAATTACTCCAAATACTTCGAATTTATTCAAGTATTTTTCTTCTTATATAGAAATCTTTTCGATGAGAACAATTTCTAGAGAGGGACTCAGCTGTGAGCTGCCAGTAGCCAATACTCTTGGTAACTAAGGGAACAAATGCCTCAGTCGAGGGGCAGCTCTTGGTGTAGCACAGTGGCATCCACTCCAATCTTTCCAGCCATCTTCACTCACTTCCACTCCCCCCTCACACCAGGTAAATGGAATTTCTAGAACAAGCATTTCCCATTAGTCTCCTTGTGAATACATCTGCCTTAGAATGCCACACCTTTGCTTGTCATCTAGGGCAGCGGTCCCCAATATTTTTGCACCAGGGACCGGTTTCATGGAAGACAATTTGTCCATGGACAGGGAGTAGGGGGTGGAGCTAAGGCAGTGATGCACAGCCTGGGGGTTGGGGACTGCAGATCTCGGGGTCTCCTCTTCGGTCACCTCAGAGATGAACTCTTTCCTGTAAACCTCTCCCAACCTCCACAGGCAGAGGCTCCCCTCCGCGTGCATGCCTGTGTCATCCCACTCACATTATTTGTTAACCTGTCTGCTTCCTCTAGCTAGTAGACTAGACTGAGCTCCAAGGGGCAGAGATTATAGCTTTCATTTTTATATTCTCAGCATCTAGCACTATGATGGGCATTTAATTCATAGTCAATCAGTACTTTTGAAATTCTTGTAGTTTTATCTGATTGTACGGAATTACATAGGCCTTATGACCACATTAACCACCACCCTAATTTTTGATGTTTAGGTTGTTTCTATGTGTGGACTTTGTATACAGCTGTGTATATTTGTTCTGAGAAATTCAGGGTATAAATGTCATGTCAAATTGTCTTCCCTAGGAACTGTTTATCCGGCTACTAGCAAAAACATGGTCTATTTGTGTATTCTCATAAGCACTGGGTTACACTGATTCTCCTTATTTTGCAGGCTTGGTGGTTCCTCATCTCAACATCCTTTAAATCTAAAATGCTAAAAGTGAGGCTGAAGTCACCAAAACCAAAGATGCCATCAAGGATGAGGAATTCATGAATTGTAGTCAGAAGTGAAATAATTGAATTCCCAAGTTTTAGGTGGGTGTGAAAGGAAGACTTGACATAAAACTAGCAGACATTGATGGAATACTCAAATGTATTTTTCCTAAAACTGGGAACAGGGCAAGGGTGTAAGCCCTTAATAGAGAACAGGACAAGAGAATAAAGGCAAGACACCTAGGGAGCAAAATGCAAGGAAATACATTCAGATGCCCACTCAATTTTCCACTGCCCTGGAAAACACCTTAAATTTTATTTTATTATGTACCTCACCTTAGTCACAGTTCTTACCACTTCTACTCAACATGTATTAGGGGTCCTAACCAGTGGAATAAGAAATTTTTTTTAAAAATTGTGTTTCTATAAACTAGTACCACTTGGAAAAAGAAATTAACAAGTCCACTTACACCAGCATGCAGAAACCTAAAATTATGTTATAAAAAATCATGAAAGGCCAGGCGCGGTGGCTCACGCCTGTAATCCTAGCTCTCTGGGAGGCCGAGGCCGGTGGATTGTTTGAGCTCAGGAGTTCGAAACCAGCCTGAGCAAGAGTGAGACCCCCTCTCTACTAAAAATAGAAAAATTAGCCAGGCATGGTGGCGCATGCCTGTAGTCCCAGCTACTCAGGAGGCTGAGGCAGGAGGATCGCCTGAGCCCAGGAGTTGGAGGTTGCTGCGAGCGAGGCTGACGCCACGGCACTCTAGCTGGGGCAACACAGTGAGACTCTGTCTCAAAAAAAAAAAAAAAAATCATGAAAGATGAACAAATCATAAAATACTTCACTGAAAGAAATAACGATGACTTAAGTGGAGCTATGTACCCTGGCTGGAAGACCCCTGGTGAAGTGGCTCACTCCTATAATCCCAGCACTCTAGGAAGCCAAGGCAAGAGAATTGCTTGAGGCCAGGCAACAAAGACTAGGCAAAGACTCCTCTCTAAAAACAAAACTAAACAAAACAAAACAAAACAAGAAAACATAGCCAGCAGTGGTGGTGGCTCAAGCCTGTGGTCCTAGGTATTCAAGGAGACTGAGGCATCAAGATCTCGAGCCCAGGAGTCTGAGGATGCAGTGAGCTATGATCACACCACTGCACTCCGGCCTGGGCAACAGAGCCAAACATTGTCTCTTTACAAAACACTTAGCCACATTATTAGATCCGACTCAATTCTAATCATAATCTCTCACCTGGCTTTTTAGACCACTGGTATTCAAGACAAAAAAATTTAGTACTCAGTGTGATGTTAGAACATGGATAGACTAAAGTGCATCAATGAAAGAGAATGTACTCCAGAAATAGACCTACACTTACAGGCCCAAATTCAATGGAGAAAGGAAGTCTTTTTAAACAAATACTGCTATAATAATTTGATGGGAGTAAAATGAATGTCAAACCCTAACTCATACCACATACAGAAATTCATTTGAGATTGACAGACCTAAATGTAGAAGTTTAAACTATAATGTTATATGAAAAACCAGAATATTGCCATCACAGAATCTGGAGATAGGCAGATTTATTTAGATAGAAGGTCCATTTAAAAAATTGTTAAGATGTGTTTGAAGATAACTTCTGTTCATCAAGACAGTAAGGCATGTGAAAGTCAAGACACACAATGGGAAAAAATACTTGCAATAAACCTGACAAGGAACTTGTATTCAAAATACATCAAGGATTCCTGCAACTCAGTAGTGAAAACCACCCTAATTTTAAAATGTACATTTATATTCAAAAGATATATTAAAGGCTGATAAACATGAGAACATGTTCATTAGTCAGAGAACCGCAGATTAAAACCAGATACTGCTACACATCCAGAAGCCACAAAAATACTTGTATGCAGATATTCAAAACAATTTTACTCGTTTGTCAAACACTGGAAATCAGTAACACAGGACAATGGGTAGAAAAATTATACACCGTGACACTATTCAGCAGTAAAGATGGCTGAACCTAAAAAATTTATTTGCTGAGTAAAAGCATTACACAAAGTTGTGGGGGGGGGATAACACCCTAGTCCATCTATGGTGAAACAAACTAAAGGAGCGCTGCTGGTGGGACCGTGGGGGAACTGCTTAATTGTCTGGGTAGGGAGATATGGGAGATGCTTCTTTTGTCCTGATAAGGGTGTGGACCTAAAATGGAAGGATCCCTTGAGTCCAGGAATTCAAGACTAGCCTGGGCAACACAGGACCCAATCTCTGAAAATAGCATACTGGACATTCCTTGGCAAGTTCTTGTGATGGTTCTTGCCATCTTATAGTTACAGGACTCTGGCTTTGTTCCTCAATTTCACCATAGGGTTCTGCTGAGCATCCAGGACAATCGAGGGTATTAAACAAGTACTTCGGGGAGTTCAGTCTTGGAGCAAGAATTTGGACATGTGCCACCATTCAAGGGACTATCAAAGAAGCCTGTGGAGGACCCTGAGAAGTCTGAGGAAAATCAGAATAAATTAATGGAAATGTTTTAAGACAGCGATTGACAGAATATCTGCAGACTTGACTCTCAGGATCAGAAACTAAAATACAAATACAAGAGGGAAGACATCATGGAATACAGCCTCTGAAGACAGGAAGGAATGGAATACACAAGAGCAGCACCTCTTCCATTATGACAGGAATAAGAGAAAGGTGGATAAGAATGTGAAGTTTGAAGATGTTGTTCACAGGAATTGTTCACAATTTACCTTCCAGGAGAATAAAATAACATTATATGACATCTACCACTTACTTATGTGCCTATGATGGAAGCACCATGACTTATTAGTAATCCCCAAAAGTCACTTACCTGTTTTCCAGTAAATGAACCTTATGAAGCAGATATCACATACTTACATAACACTTCCATTTTCTAGGACCTCTATCTTTTACTTGGGAAAATTGCTGGGTGCAGAGGCTCTTGCCTGTAATGCAGCGACTTGGGAGGCTGAGGTAGGAGTGACAGAGCAAGACCCCATGGCAAAAAAAAAAAGAGAGAAAAAAGGAAAGAAAATATTTTCTAACTGAAGATTATTCTAAGATCAGATTTTTTCACAAGATTTTATCAGATTATAAGAGACTGTAGAACTGAAATTTTGCCCAGTTATGAAAATGATCAAGCTTATAAATTTTAGTTTAGTAAACTATGAATGAATCAAGCTTACAGTTTGATCACCCCAGCCCCCATGTGTTAAGAGCCTAATCTATGATAAAGGCCAGAACCTTCCGACTTCAAACTTTGACTTCTCTAACTCCACACACACAAATACACATTTTTATTTTTACATAGTACAGTATCTGGTCATGTAGACTATTTAAAAAACAGGTCAACAAAACTTTCTGGATGTCACTAGACAATTGAATTTTTATTGAAGCTTAAATTGTGGTACAGAAATACATTTCAACTGATTTAAGTCCAACACCAATGAAAGGAGAAATTATGGCACCAAAACTTTCCCTCCTCTATCATACTAAAGATTAATTTAGATTACTATTCAATCTAGTTCTCATTTTTCTAGGCTGTGTTCCACACAAATGTGCAGGTTTTCAATAGTAGAGTTCTTAAATCTATTAGGAAAAAAAATCAGACCTCAAGCCAACAAACGTCATCAAAACTACTGGGATACTGTTCAAGAACAAAATCCACTTTTGAGCATTGGTCCTCAAAACAGAGCACCTCAAAACATTGGGTGCTATGCTCATTACAGAATCAAACTGATCATGTTGACTGAAAACTTCCTCAATGAAACTTTCAATCAACATGCTTAAAATAAGTCAAAAGTGTTCCAACCACTTGATTTCATACCAAGTTGATTTTATGTTTAGAAACACTAAAAAAAGGTGTTTCGTTTATAAATACGGAAGGAACAAAACAGCATTGCATCAATCCAGTGATTATCAAAATATTGTGAGGACAAGAAATACAAAATATAGTCAACTTTCGTATTCACTCAGTTGCTTAAATCCCACAGTATTTGCAAATACAGCTATAAGATGCCAACTCTTGAAAGCTTGTATTTTAGTCATTTCCCATTGAGAATTGTGGAATTTTGTATGTTATGTTTCACTTATTTACTCATTCAGATATTCTGCTTCATGGTGTTTATCTGAATAACCTGGATGATTCTCATTCTGGGCAGTCACTCATTTGATCCTGTGAATTCCATGGTAAAAGAACACCACAATTAGAGGAATAGATGAAGTCAGAACACTCATATGCATCACAAAAGTCACAGAACTTGAAGTCACAAGATGGAAAAAGATATTGAATCTGCTCTGAACCAAAGTTTATAGTATATTATTAATGGAAACTCATGGAAATGGCTGATAAAGTAAAAGTTAAGGTCAATGATCCAAGCTGACCTGACTTATTGAATCTAGTACAAACCTTATGCTAAACCTTCCTGGTAATCAACTTAGTAATAAAAACCCTTTTATACTACTACTTAGTGAGTTAGTAAAGGCATGGTACTCATTAGAAGCTAATTTCATTTAGTGAGGAGCACAGAATTACATATCATTTCCACAGCTCAGCCACTACACTCTAATCTCCATCTACAATTCTCTACATGTCTTCCCTGCTAATCAACACTGGAGACGTTTATTTTTGTTACTGTCATCCAAAAGGCCCAAATTAAGCTCAGGAACCATCTCTCCCTTTCCCCATCTGGGGTATAAGATTTATATATAAACCCACAGTGTTAACAGTGTATTGCTTTATTTGGAGGGTTTGAGGAAAGACACCATGGTGAGAGAAGAAATCAATTATAGGACTACAAATGCACAGACTAATAATTTTAAAATAGTAATACACAAAATAAGTAACTGGAATCATTTTCTTAACAGGACCCGACTTGTGGAAAAAAACTTTAATTGCTGTTGCAAAAAACATCTGTATGAAGTAGAAATTGGTTCCAATAACATTAGTAAAGAATTAGTTCTAGAAAGTAGAGGTAACTGGATGTAAAATTCTGGCAGCAGTTTAATAGAACAGTCCCAGATGGTTTGGCTGAGGCCAACATCTAATGAGGACGAAAGCCTTGTCTGTGGGGAATTTTGGACGATACCTGGAGAAATATTACACTGTGCATAAACCAAATTGAATTGTTTTCACAAGTGTTGTAAAGTTCCATATAGTAAAAGTTTTTTTCTACATGCACTTCAATTTCACAGCAAGAGTGGCATAGAATACCTAAACACAGAAGAGAGCATTCATGCAAGATATCTAACTCTTTGATATAATAATGCATACAATTCAAAATGATTACACTATCATTACATCTAGGGCTTTCTGCAACTACAAGGTGGTGGTTATGGAAAGCATGGCCCCTGGTATTAACATCTAGAAAGCAGCCACCACCTTCTACGTGTGTTCTCTTTTTGCGTTTTTTCTTCATTTTTCTTAATCAACTCTGCTGTTGTTGCTGCTTCTTAGCAAAACTGGTAAAAACAAAATTGTAATCACTGAACATAGCACTCTGGCAATCAAGACGTTTAAAGCCTTCAATCTTCTGGGGCGAAGCAAGCACTGTGCGACATTTAGAACTCTGGGGGAAAAATTTAAATAACCATTACTGTTTCCATTCTGCACAAACATTTTCAAAGAAAATAGATACATAATAAATAGACCTTTATCTTAATGAAACTATAGCACTTGAGTTATTTTAGCTGCTTTCCTCTGGGGTGGATAGAGTGGGGCATCTTACAGCCCCCACCAGGCCAGAGATTAGGGAAAATAAACAGAACAGGAGGAGCCCATCAATTGGGTTAGACATAAAACAAGGACTGATAGAAGTCTAATGAAACACATAAAACTTCTTTTCATCTACTGGTAACTTCAACTAGTATTATCTCTGGATATCTGAGTGACTAGTAATATGTGCCATCTTAGAATACACCTTATAATATGCCTCTCTATCTTCATTTCCCTTAAAATTTTATTGCCAATAGGCAATTACATTACCTGATTAACAAACAAGGTGGTCACGAATTTTCCTGGCTTGAAGACTTCCACAACTTTCCTGATCAGGTCATCATAGGAGGTCTGACTTAAGTTTGTTTCAAAGCTAACATAAGAAAATTCTGGTTCTGGAGTGATGTGAATAGTCCAATAAGTTCCCTTAGAGAAACAGTTTTATGTTAATAATGGAAAGGGTACATTTAAATATTTAAATAATTATCAAAGCAAGATATAACTACTTACATCCGATTTCATTCCATTCATTGAATACCCACAAGGATTGAACAATGTGGCATCAATGACAGAACCTGGTATCAGGTCACGAATTCCACTCTCCTAGAAAAAAGAGCACAGATTAAATTAAAGGCTTGAAAAATAACCTGAAAATGAGTTTTCAAAAACTTAGTGACTGTGCTGGAGGTGAACCCAGCCATCTGTGGTGAAAAAACACAAAACTTAGTGGTCATGTCGAAGAAGCCAGCAACAATTATTACTGAAAATGCTTACACGAGTGACATCCTTTGCAGTAACACCATCTTTCATGTAGAACTGGTCCATAACTGCTGGGTCAAGCTCACTCATCAGAATTTCCAGGGTCTGATCTGGCTGACTGATTACTCGACTCTCTGGGAAATCCAGAGTATATAAGTACCTAAATAAAAGTAAAAAGTAGTTTTAAAAAATGACAATTGGCAGTTTAAAATAAATCTTATACAGAGTAACAAAAGATCCACAAAATCACATCAAACATACCAACAGTCAGAATTCATACGTCCCATACAATATGCTGCTCCATCTGTTAATGGAAGAGAGTATAAAATAATTATAACGTTGATTTTACAGGCTGGCTTATTACCACTCTCAGAAGTATACTATCTGCCCACTACCAGCAATGTCATCAGTGAAGGGACACTTAACTAAGTAAATGCCCAGACAGGCAGGATCCCCCCTCACCCGACCCATACACTCTTTTTAAAAAGACGTTTTTTCTGGCCATGATTCAGAGATACAGTTCAACTAGTGGGTCAATCTAAATGGTATTGAGAAAACTGTGCCTTACTCTTCCACTAAAATTCCTTTAGGAAATGGAATTTTGCCCCCAATTTATCTACTCTCCCAAACAAATATATTTTATGTGACACTTCCTTCCAATATTGTTTCAAAGCCCCACACAACTCAGTAAATCAATACTTGTTAGACATCTGTACTAAAAACCCAACCTTCTGATATAGCCTGGTAGGGGTTTCATATTAGCAGATGTGTTAAGTCAGGAGATTTTCTTTTGTGCAAAGTTATTAAATTATGCTAGATTTTCAGCCTCATCTAAGGGAGGGTGTTACTAGATATCCTTTAGTTCTCTAGCCTCTATAAATAAAAACTTAGTAAAGGGATGGAAGAAAATCTTGCCAATTTGATTCTGGTAATACAGTGATTACATAGTGTTGATCATTTTTAAGTCAGCCCAATTATCAGATAAAATGCCGGACCAGAATTTCTTAACACAAAGGTCTGTGAAACCACTGGACATTTTTCTAGAAGGAAAAACATCCTTCTTCCTATGGTCAAAAGATAGGAGTTAGGCACAAATTAAAGCATCTTGCTAGATGAAGACTGTTAGGCTTGCTCAGGGTGAAACCCTGGAAAGTATGTATAGGACAGAATGCGGTTAATGGAAAACTTAGATAGTGATCATAAGACCTGTCAAACAACAGACAGCATGAGTCTGGAAGAGTCCAGAGGTTGGAAATCTAACTCTGACCAGACAGTTGCGGCAACGTTGGCAGGAGCCGGTTACTGTTCAGAAAACTTCACCCTCCCCAAACTTCCATCCAAACCTCCTATAAAACCCACCACTCTCCCCTTCCTGGTGTGGATACTCTTTTCGGCCTCTACCCATCTGCACCCGGATGCTCAAATAAACAGCATTTAGCTACACCTGAGGCTTTGTGTGTCTCCCTCTTGGCTCTGGACCTACCAAAGATGAAGTCTCCCTCTGCAATACGAAAAACCAGAGGTGGCAAGTGATCAATTCCACAATCATCTTATTTCATCATTTCAACAGCACTGACTTGGGATGCACAATTATTGTTACAAGGGCCTGTTTACACAAACAACACCTTTGTAATAAGCTAGCTAATTTATCTTAACTAAAAACATTTTATCTGATATTTTATGCTCTTTATAAATTCTGTCTATCTTGAATTATAAGCTATTATACTGATAAAACATCCAAGTTAAAAAAGTAAAGTATGGAAGAGTATATACAGTGTGCTATATTTGAATACATATACTATCATATATAAAAAGATCTCTGAAAGGTAACACTTTCTAAAATTAAGAAGAAAACAGGTTTGAATTCTATTTAAACTTACTTGGGAAAATTGCATTTAGAAACTCTATCTCTTCCTGGAAATTCCGGTGTGGGTACCCTTGGTGAGAAGGCTTCATGAAATTCTTACGAGAATAAAAGAAGCTCTTAAAAAGAAAAAAAAAGGCGGATAACTTGAAGACATAGAATTTTATTTTTTCTAAACTAATTAACTATTAATTAACTATGTCCTACATATCACAACTCAGCACAATCAAAACTCAAGTATTACCCAATTCTGCACTTTTTTTTTTTGAGACTGGGTCTCACTTTGTTGCCCAGGCTAAAGTAAAGTGGCGCCATCATAGCTCCTACAACCTCAAACTCCTGGATTCAAGTGATCCTCCTGCCTCAGCCTCCTAAGTAGCTGGGACGACAGGGGTGCACCACCATGCCCGGCTAGAAAATTTTTTTCTAAATTTTTTTGTAGAGACAGGATGTGGCTATGTTGCTCAAGCCATCTTCTGGCCTCTGCTACCAAAGTGCTAGGATTGTAGACATGAGCCACCATACCTGGTCCCAGTGTTGTACTTCTAAAGTATACACATGAGCTACCTGAGCTGATCCCAGTATAGTCTTAATGGAGAATAAAATGCCCAGTCTCCTAATGATGGCTCCTAACTGTTAAGACAAAGTTCATTTCTAATCTGAGCTTTTTAAGTCATGTAAGCAAAAATTTTGTAGAATATTACACACATTTAGTTTTAAGTTAGTGGTCCAAGTTAAGTACACATTGCTTTAGATTTCTTACAAGGATCAACAGGTAACAACAAAAACTGTATTATGCGCCCCAATAATGATACATCCTTTTCCTTACAAAGTCAAATATTAAAAATCAACAACTGATCATCAGGAAATTATACCCTAGGTAAAGAAAACCTTAGTTCTTGAAAATTATCAGAAATTAACTCAATACCGATTGCTGGTCTCCAACATAACTCTTCATTATAAAGTCTGGATAATTTCACCAATTAAATTTTTCTTGCTTTCCCTTCTTTTCTAACCACTTTTCTATAAATAACCATGTCAAGAAGTTAACTACTGAAGTGTCTGGCTTCTTCATTTCTTTCCACAATTTGAATTATCCCAACTCATTCTCTGTTTCCTCCATAGTTTCTGCTGTTCTTAAGCAACAACCTCAACATTTCAGTTCTTTCTCCTATGGTTATAAGACCATCTTACCACGTGTTCTTATGCATTATAACCGAGGTAGTAAGTATAAAAGTTTATTTACTAGGAACATTACAGGATAAGAATTCTAACACATTTATGTCCCCAAAAAAGATTTTTAAAATGTTTGATTACTTACTTGAATTGAGTCAAACCCACTGTAATCCCTAGCAAGCTTCAACAGGGGAACCAGTGCTTTCAGCAAGAGGGTGGTACCACATGTCTTCAAAATGAAACGTCTCTTGGAGACAAACATGCTACTCTCACTGCAGTTGAAAAAAGTCACAATATTACAATGATGTCTATGTACTACTGAGGATGCAATTACCCTATTATGAATCATTTATAATTTTTGACTAGTACTTTTTCTTTTAAGACCTAGTCCTGAATCCAGAGCAAGTACTTTATACATGAAATGTAACAGCTTTCAGATGGCTGTCTATATACAATAGCCTAGCAAAGTGTCACTGGTACATGCCTAACACTATTTACTAAATTCCTACATTACCTCATCTTGTACCATGTTATTTCTGTAACCATCATTATTTCTTTCACTAGATAATAAGCTCCTTGAGGAAAGGAATGTTTGTTTTTACTTACCACTATATCCCCAAGGGCTTGGCACACAGCAAGCATTTTGATAAATATCTGTATATGTCAAACACAAACTTAGTAAAACGTAGTGGGCCTTATGCACTTTGTTCAATCCAATAGCTCCGAGGCCCTCAACAGTAAATACTTTAAGCATTCAAAGTATTTATTGAATAAATTAACTCTGCAACTATAAAAAGGTATAGCTTTCTTTTATATCCTAATACAGCAACCCTAGTTCCCTAGTTGTATGGTGAAGCTGATTTTCACTTTGCCTGAGGTTCTGATACTAAGATGTCCTTTTTTCTACTAACTACGAGGAAAAGATGAAAACCACTTTGAAGAGCTATTAGGTAAGGCTTAAAAACCTATCGTCCAGAAACACCCATATTAATAATCATTTTCTTTTACACTATATTCCTGAAAATAAGGTAAAACAGATTACAGAACTAAGACTAAGAAGAACAATTTGATATTTCACATGAAGTTATGATTAGGACTGAAACTGGCTAGCTAACACCAGTTCTACAGGACTCACCTGAGTACATAAGCTTCCTGCTTGTCAGTTTTTGTCACACTTATGATTGAACATTGCACATCCTTCAAAAGTATGTCCCACTCAGATCTATCATTTAATGAAAAAATATGATTAATTCACAATACGTACCTACTCTCACAAAAACTAAAGCTCTAACAATTTTCCAGTTAAGACTACATTTTTCTTACAACATTCTTTATATTGTTCTAGCTTCTTATGAATATCAACATTTAGTTTCAAAATGGTCTATATTGATATATCCTGATAAAAGATGGATACATGTTATACCATATGAAAAAATGTCATACTATCTACTTACAACTTACTCAAAAATGGGCAAAAAAATGTGAATAATTCATTTACAGAGGAAATTCAAAGGCCCATAAACCAGGAAAATCATTAACTCATTAATGATTAAAGAAATTCAAGTTACACTGGGATACTTTTTTGTCTATCCAATTTGCAGGTTAGGTTATTAACCTTACTTTAAGAAACACAATTTTTTTTAAAAGCACCATTTCACTACTCATATTGGCAGAGTTTCTAAAAGCCTGTCTGACAGATAAATGTATTACTCTCATAATAAATGCCACGAGAAGATGCGCATTTCAGATAGCAAAATGGGAGTCTCATGTGTGAACAAACGAGTTAATTTACATGAGTTAAAGCAGACCTATGTAGCTGCTTCTTCTTTCGTACAGTGAGCCTACTATAAATAGACAACTTAAAATTAGTTCCAAGAGGCATCTTAAAATTACCAGATTAAAGGCTAGAAATATTTTTTAAGGCCCTTAGTATCTGGCAGGTTGTACTATACTCAGGAAAATGGCATATCACTTCTTATCCAGAAAAGACCTTGTAAGGAAAATCCAACAGCACAGCCAGCAACAAAATGTTTTATTCTTTTATATTAAAAAGGAAGCACAAGACCAAACAATCCCGGTAGGATTTTGTGCTCTTCTCACCATTTTGCTAAAAGAAACTGTTACCGGCCCAGCTGAGTACTGAGACCCACCCCAAAATCTTTAAAAGGTAATGTTAGGCTTGCTAATGATTATATAGCCAAATTTTTTTGTTTTTTTTTTTTTTTTTTTTTTTGAGACAGAGTCTCGCTCTGTTGCCCAGGCTAGAGTGCCGTGGTGTCAGCCTAGCTCACAGCAACCTCAAACTCCTGGGCTCAAGTGATCCTCCTGCCTCAGCCTCCCAGTAGCTGGGACTACAGGCATGCGCCACCATGCCCGGCTAATTTTTTCTATATATTTTTAGTTGTCCAGCTAATTTCTTTGTATTTTTAGTAGAGACGGGTCTCGCTCTTGCTCAGGCTGGTCTCGAACTCCTGAGCTCAAACGATCATCCCGCCTCGGCCTCCCAGAGTGCTATGATTACAGGTGTGAGCCACCGTGCCCAGCTAAAGTTTTTCTGTTAGACCATAACTAAGCAAGTTTTTAGAGATAACTTCTTTTTTTTTTTTTTTTTGAGACAGAGTCTTGCTCTGTTGCCCAGGCTAGAGTGCCGTGGTGTCAGCCTAGCTCACAGCAACCTCAAACTCCTGGGCTCAAGTGATCCTCCTGCCTCAGCCTCCTAAGTAGCTGGGACGACAGGGGTGCACCACCATGCCCAGCTAACTTTCTATTTTTTTAGTAGAGACCAGGTCTCGCTCTTGCTCAGGCTGGTCTCGAACTCCTGAGCTCAAACGATCATCCCGCCTCGGCCTCCCAGAGTGCTATGATTACAGGTGTGAGCCACCATGCCCAGCTAAAGTTTTTCTGTTAGACCATAACTAAGCAAGTTTTTAGAGATAACTTCTTTTTTTTTTTTTTTTTGAGACAGAGTCTTGCTTTGTTGCCCTAGCTAGAGTGAGTGCTGTGGCGTCAGCCTAGCTCACAGCAACCTCAAACCCCTGGGCTCAAGCAATCCTTCTGCCTCAGCCTCCCCGCGTAGCTGGGACTACAGGCATGCACCACCATGCCCAGCTAATTTTTCCTATATATATTTTTTTAGTCGTCCAGATCATTTCTTTCTATTTTTTGGTAGAGACGGGGTCTCGCTCTTGCTCAGGCTGGTTTCGAACTCCTGAGCTCAAACAATCCGCCGGGCCCTAAGCAAGTTTTTAAAAGCTAACTATTAAAATTTTTAAAGGGCTATCTCTTTTTCAAAAGTGCTAACAATTTGTTCATATATAGAAAAAAACATACTGGGCCATGCTTTTGCTGTTTTGAACTAAAAAATGGTACAATTTGTCATCTAGGCAAGAAAAAAATTGCAGAAGCTGAGTAACAAACCTAAAAAAAATTTTTTTTTTACATCCTCTTAAGGTAGTCAAGCAGTAGCTCTGAGTTTCATATTTGGAAGACTTAATGTCCACCCACGATGTACTAGCAACATTTCAGGACCCACGAGTATTCCAATTCCATGAACAATACACTTTAATGCAAAAAGTTATAACTAATCTAAAGGAAAACACAGGGCTCTTATGAAATCTGTAACTTTTCTGCTTTGTGACAATCGTTGAAATTTCCCCAGTTTTCTTCGCCTGATGGGAATGAAATCCTGTTTCGCTTGACTGATGAGGATTAATTTACATAATCCATACAAAAACCACCCACTATAATAGATATTAAGAATTCAAATATTGAATGTGAAGGTAAATAAAAATATCCACTGATTTAAGTATTAGCAGCATTACATTAAATCTGAGCAGAGTTCACCTGACTTCCCACCAGAATTTAGCACATTTGCATACATTCTCCTCCACCCACTGTACACACTAATAAATCCTTCCATAGCATCCCCTTCTTGGTTATATTCGCTATTTATATTAAGATGTTTAAACATGTTCCATGGCTGAGCTAGATAGTATAACCTTGTTTCTCTGTATTTAAAAGCCATCTTGCTTTTTAATTTTGTTTTCTATGAACTTATCCAAATTTATTTATCCTCAAAATTTCCCGTCTGTGTCCTTTCAACATTTCTGTTAAGTGATTCTTGACCACAGTTGGATGCTAAGAAAATTAGCTCATCAGAAGCTTTGTTTCAAGCATAATTATTAAAAATACTGGGCTGGGGGCGGTGGCTCAAGCCTGTAATCCTAGCACTCTGGGAGGCCGAGGTGGGCAGATTGTTTGAGCTCAGGAGTTCGAAACCAGCCTGAGCAAGAGCGAGACCCTGTCTCTACTAAAAATAGAAAGAAATTAATTGGACAACTAAAAATATATAGAAAAAATTAGCCGGACATGGTGGTGCATGCCTGTAGTCCCAGCTACTCGGGAGGCTGAGGCAGGACGATCGCTTGAGCCCAGGAGTTTGAGGTTGCTGTGAGCTAGGCTGACACCATGGCACTCTAGCCCGGGCAAAAAAGTGAGACTCTGTCTCAAAAAAAAAAAAAAAAAAAAAAAAAAGAAGCTCTATGTCTGTGGATGGGCCTTGTTCAATGTAGGCCTCACTATGACTGGGCTGTTTCACTGGGTCCCACGTCCATATTTTTTAGTTCTTAGAGAGGTCAAACAACCCAAATATTCTAATCTTTTGCTTGAACATTAAGATTTCTGGGAGGAAAATGACGGTTAAGTGTTAGGGATATATACACACTTGCTATATATAAGCTTTCATTCTTTTTTTTTCAGTGTAGTGACACTAAACAGTGCCTGTTGTCCCCTCATTTCATAAAGATCCTGTTTTGCTCTCTCCAGAGGATAAACCATTATCTATCTCATCTTCAGACCTCCTGGTATCCCCCTTCTCATCTGACAATGAATCAGAAACAAAAACTGAATTAATTAAGGTATACATTTGGCAGACACACAGATAACTAAATCCTCATTTTCTATACTCCAGCTTGTGGCTTTTACCACAAGCTATTCTCTCTTCCTAGAAATAGAGCACCATGCATTTGATCACGCTAACCAAGACACTTGAGTGAGAGAATGTCATGATTATGCTGAGACAATGTATGTATGGAAGAAGTCACCTTACCTAGAAGCAGCATTGTCTTTAGCTCCCTTGTTCAGCTTAAAAGTCAACCCTTTACCCCTTCCAGACTGTATTTGTCAATTAAATGGTTTCAAAACTCACAAGGCTTACTGCAGTTTTGTACTTGGTGTCTGTTAAGGCATTCATGTCAATCCCACTATATCTCACCATTAAATTCTACCCTCAATGCCTATATCAGTTCGTAACAGACCCTCAAGCATGTCCTGTATCTGGCAATAATTCTGATCTTACTCTCAACTCCACATAAATGAAGCTTACTTATTTATTCTACTGTCACATAACTTAGTTGTCATTTATTATAACGACAAATGTAGAAGTAGGTTGTTTTCTTGTATCCTTATGCCCCATACTCTTTCTGGGAACCCACTGACATGAACTGTTAATAACCCTTTTGGTGTTGTCCCACAGGTCCCTAAGGTTCTGTACATTTTCTCCCAATCTTTCAATTTTCTGTTGTCCAGACTGGATATTTCCCCCGATCTACCACCTTCAATGTCACTCATTCTTCCTTCTGTCATCTCCATTCTACTAAAGCCCCATCCAATAAACATTTTATTCCAGTTATTATATTTAGCTCCAAATCTTCCATTTTTTTCATGTCTATTTCTAAGTCTTTCTAGCTTTCCTTTTGTCTCAAGAGTGCCCACTCTTAATAGAAGGGTTAGGACAGCTGCTTTAAAATCTTGGGTCTGTGTTGCCTTGAGGTTTGTCTCTTGACTGTTCTTTTCTTTTGAAAGATGTTGAGATTTTTCCTAGTTTTTCATATGTGGAGTACTTTAGGATTGCATCCTAGACAGTTTGATAGTGTTAAATAATTCTGGGTCATTTATTTTCAAAAAGTTGTTTTAGCAGACAATCACCTCATTGGGTTCAGGCTTCTAGTCTTTTTTTTTTTTTTTTTTTTTTTTGAGACAGAGTCTCACTCCATTGCCCAGGCTAGAGTGCCATGGCGTCAGCTTAGCTCACAGCAACCTCAAACTCCTGGGCTCAAGCTATCCTCCTGCCTCAGCCTCCTACTCGGACTATAGGCGTGTGCCACCATGCCTGGCTAATTTTTTATATTTTTAGTCGCCCAGCTAATTTCTTTCTATTTTTAA